CACCTGTACTGCCCCCTGCGGCTGCCCGCGGCCCTGCAGGTGGCCTCGGCCTGCGGTCCTGGCGCGCATCTGCCCTACCCAGTGGAAACGCTGCTGGCCTGAGCCGCCGCTGAGCGCGGCGGGGGTGGGCGCCGTTGGGGAGAAGGGGAGCCAGGCTCGGGCTGTGCACTTTCCACCCAGAGGAAAAGACTTTTTTTAAAATCTCCATCAAACGTGCCTTAAAGCTAAGCATTTTGACAGAAGTGTTTTAACTTAGTCCAAAATATTTTCCTTTGTCTTTTATAACCTTACAGAGGACCAAAGCAGTTCTTAATTGCTTTAATATCTTGGCTAAGCCTGTCCTCTCTCGTAAAAACTTTTCCTCTCGTTATTACCCAGGCTCCCCATAATTCCTGTTTTTATTGCACCTTCCATTGATTTACAACCCCCCCCCAAGAAAAGAACATCAGGGAACCATTCCATAGGGCAAATGACATGACTACTGTTTGGGGTCCGCGGGACCCTGCGAGTGTACGTGTGTGGCATTCACAAGTGTGACTGTCCGAGGTGTCAGAGAATCGTCGTCATTTCTCTGCTATCCACCAATGCTTCACTGTGCCAAACGAGGAAAAGAAAATGTGGGCGTTTTTTAAATAAATTATTTATATTTTTTTGAAATCCGATTTGAAAATGTTGCAGGCAACGGCTACAGCTTTATTAGTGGTTCTCTAACTGTGGGCCAAGCAGTTTCTTTAAAGGAAAAGTGGATATGTGTGTGGGCGGCCAGGACCACTGCCACTCGAAAGCAAGTGTGATTTTTATTTTTTAATATTATTTTATTTGTGTTTGTGTACATATTCATGTATAAATTTTATGAAACCCATGCATAGCGCTTATTTTTTAATAAAACTCACAATTGACTTACATACTTCGTGGTGATGAGTTGGAGGCAGAGTTTTTTGTTTTTGTTTTTATCCCCAATTCCCCCAAAATGGATTCAGGTTTAAGTCCCAGGAAACTTCGTCCTGGGATCAAAATCTTTTCGGGCAGAAGCAGCCTGCAGCCTTCCTGACCAAACACCACTGCACATCTTTTCAGGGTGGACCTTCTGTTAATGAGGTAGAGCCAAAACTTTGCAAGCCTTCACTTGAGAGTTCCCAGGACAACCGATGTGTCCACTTTCTCCCCGGGAAGCCTTCAGCTGGGAGATTGAAGGCGTGACTCGCTCATAGGCAGGCCCACATTTCCAAGCAAATTGGATCCCATCTTGTCCAAGAAGCTAGAAAGTCTTGGCCGAAGACTAGCTTGCCACCAAAAAAACAAAGGTCTTCCTGCGATGAAATGAGTAGCTTGAACGTCAGTGTTTGTCAAAACCATCCACCTTTTAGAAATGCACAAGTTCCTTTGGCCACTTGTTTGTTAGTAAGTTCAAAGGCAGCAGGTCTCTAACAATAAATATCTAGGTAACTTGCAAAAGGGTAATGCAAATGGTAAGGAATTCAGAGGCCGGAAAGCGGCCTCTCTGGAAGGGCTGCCATTGTTTTCCTACCCAGAAGGGGATCTTGGGTGGGTCTCATCCACCCCAGCCGGGAAGATGATGTGAGATCCACGTTCAGGAGGTGGAGCTTATTTGAGGATGACCCTTTTACCAGGAATTGAAGGAAAAAAACCCATGCTTAAGTCTAGCTAACAAGTCTTGACTGATTTCGGTTATAGCTACTTAGTAGTCATAAAGAGTGATAATAATAGGGTTGAATTATGACAAAAGGTAGACATTTGCACTCACAAGGCCAATAATTAGACCAGCAAAGGGGAAGGGGGCAACAGGTCCATTGGGTGGAAATCACCTCACTCAACCTCAGCTCCGCTTTGGAAGTCCAGGACTGGGGAAAACCAGCCCCCCGGGGTGCCGCCCCCCCCCCATTGCACCGGCAAAGAGCTGTGTGTAGTGAAAGGTTTAAATCTATGGTCTAAAGCTGTTGTTTTCATTTCCACACTGACGCGGAAGGCAGTCCTGCCAATGGAAGTGTAAAATTGCTGCTGTCCTCTGAACTCAGATCTCCTAAATCCCTGGCCTTTTACCAAAATCGCTGCTAATTTATTTATGTTAAAGCATGCAGAAACAGCATGGAAAAGAAGAGAAAGATGGTGTCTTAAATATCACAAAAGTTTTTTTAAAATAAAAATCACACCTTCCTCCAAAAAAATCCTTCCTAATGAACACCTCAAAGGGTTGTGATCCCCTGTCATCGCTGGTCCCCTTCTCTAGCTTCTAGAGAGCTTCAGGCACGTGAAATCTAAGCTTCTATCCCATGACCCAAGGACATGCCAGCCCAGGAAGGTCGGGCCCCCAGGCTGCGGCCAGGCAGGAAGCTTGCAGTTTCTCCAGAAACACAGAGTTTCGAAGGCACTTTGAGAACCAGCGACGCTAAATTCACTGGATTCGTAGAAATCACAGACTCAGTCTTCAGCAATGACAATGCAGGAGGACCCCACCTCGGGTCCCAGCTGGACAGCTGGATCTCTGTAGCCAGCAGGGTCTGTCCCCTGTGACTCTCTCACCAGAAGCAGGGCCACCTCTCCCCTCTCTGGACCTATGACGGCCCCCCCAGCCCCTTCGCACCCCACTGCCAACAGGGCCACTGCAGACATCAGGGGACTGAAACACCTCAGCTAACCCTGGGCCAGGGACGTGGGGTGAGGCTCTGCTTGGCTGAGGAGATGCCCTTGACGCCTGCCCAGTGGTAGGGCTGCTGCCAGGCTCAGCCAGTTTTCCAGAGACCCCTCCTGCCTCCCACCAACAACCAAGTCCCGGAGTAGGAGTTCCGCAGCCACCTGCCCCAGCCCCCTAGGAAACCTTCTCAGCTCCCTCAGACCAAGGGATGGAGAGAAAAGTTGACCTGGACAGGACCCTGGGGCGCTGAAACACCGGGTTTCCAGCTCCCCACCTCCCTCATGGGCTGCAGAGCTGCTCTGGGAGGAAGCGGGGGCCCGGGCTGAAGGGCCTCCGGAGCGGGCGGTGAGGATCTCCCCAAGTCCCATGGCTGTGGATAAGGAATCTGACCAAGGCTCCTTCCAGAATCAATTCTCAAGGGGAAAACAAAGCAGCAGGTCAACCCCAGCAGGTAAAGATGGGCTGTCTAGGCGGTAGACGCAGGCCTAGGGAGAATCACTTGTGTCTACAGTACCACAGCCTGGCACCTTGCTCTGTCAGAGCCCTGTGTTCCCACTCGACCTTCAAAGTGAGAGCCGTCAGGCTACCTGAGGAGCCCCAACCTCATCCCCAAGAAACTGGGCCACAGAGCCGCTCTCCGCACTGAGCAGCCCTCTGCAGAATCCCGAGCACACTTTGGCCGAACCTAGCTGCACTCCCCAGGTAAGTGTCTCAGTTCACGCTGACGGCAGTGCTGGGCAGATTTCCCAAAGGAGCGAATGATTTCCTTCACTGCTAAGCACGTGCTCCCTGCCCTCACCCAGAAGAGTCCTCTCCTAGAGGGGGCGGCATCCCTGCCTGCCTGGGAGACCTGCAGGCCGGTGGTCAGTCCCAGCCTGGTCGTGTGGCAGGAGGCAGGCTCTCAGCCCTGCGGAGGGCAGCGATTCCATTCGGGAAGGAGGTCGCTAGGTATGGGTGTGAGCAGCAGGGCGCTCGCTCGGGGGCAAGCGGTGACAAGTGAGTCCTCCCGGCAGAGGCTGCTCCTGCTTCCCCACCCGGCCCCAAGCAACAAAAATGGCCTCTTTTCTACTTTAAAGAGAAAGTAGAATTTGTAATTCATGTTCTTTTTTTGGTTTAAAAGAAAGCCAGCTCAGTGTACTCACGTGACTGACCACTGCTCAGGTATCAGGGGACTGAGTTGGCATCTGACATACAACTCTGTGTTACTTTTTTTTAATTCTTTAGACTACAGTAACTGAGCTTTGCGCCATTTCTAGAAATTGGACCTCAAAGAGCCCTTTCATAAGTATTTTCTGCTTTCCAACACCACGATAGTTCTTTTTTAAGTAACAGACTTTATAGTTTTCTAATGAGGCCATTAAACTTTTGTTATGCTTTAACAACATAATTTGTTAATTCTTAATGTTGTCAACAAATGGCCCTAATAAATACGTTCCAGGAAGATCCTGATCAAAAACATAAAAAGGCAGCCCCCCCAGATCTGAGGACCTCTTTCAAACTGGCAAAGATTCGGCCGTCCTGAAGTGCTGGTGATTGCACAGCGGTCAGCCCCGTATCTGCTCGGCATTATTAAGATGGATGGGTGATTAGAAGCAAATGTCATTCCTGTGATTTGCCAACTTATACACAGCCTGGAAAGAGAACTGTATCGACCTTCGTTTTGGTGAACTGCAGCCAAACATAAACATTCTCAGAATCCACATTCCCCCAACCATCCCTGGACCTCTCTGTTGCTCTTTTCAGGAACAGTTTAACTCCGAGGACTTGCTGTAACTGAGGGTTTTTATAACATCTGTTTGAAGATCAAGATAATATATGGACTCAACCTCTTTGACATGTATGTGTTGTGTCTGATCTCCAGTTGCTAACCCTTCAGGAAAAGATAGAAAAATGTTGCAACCTTTGGCCTTCTCTACCCACTGTCTTTAAAGTTCTGCTAGTGCTCAACATCACAAAAGCGGCCCATTCAAAAAAGAATTCAGAATGACAAGGCTGCGGAGGTGTGAGTCTCAGTTCCAGCTGTGCCTCACACAACTGGATGACCTCAGAGAAGTCGTCATTCCCTGTAAACCTCAGTAGGACCAGGGTTGGATTAGACTGTCTCAGACCCCTCTTCCCCCTCACATCCATGAAAACTCTCGTGTAATGTCACAGACGACATGCTATGACATACTAGTAGATTTTTTTCCTGGATACTCAGTCAACTTGGGATCGAGTGTGTGTCTCATTACAACATTCATCAACATGGCTAAAGTTCTCACGGACAACAGCAGAATATATTGGAGACATCAGTGGACCAAGGACACACACCATGTGTCATTTTAATGGGTCACAAGATGTTTTCCAGTAATGCTTCCTCCCAGCTTACTTAAATTTATCTCAAAACCCCAGCTTTCAGGATTAGAGTAAAACACCAGATGCTTATTTCACAGGCAGGAGACAGAGTCTGAGACGTGGGGCCATTTTTAAGAGATTTCATCATAAACAAGGAGTTTAAGGCTGCTTTGCTGGGTCCCATGGTGGCTGCCAAGCCAGCGGCTCAGACCCTGGGCAAAGAAGATAGATCAGTCTTCATTTCCTTATGTAAGAGGCAGTTATCAGTGTGGCAGAGTAGATAAAATGCAGCTGAAAGGATGCAACGCTGAGCCTCAAGGGCCAAACAGAAGTTGGGTTCATTTGTTCCTGATGCCCTAGTAGAAAATCCATCCGTTTCTGTGCTGGTACCCTGGCTTCCTCCTTCCTGGGAAATCCTTCCTGTCCATCACCACCCCTCAAGCCAGCT